AGCAGCCCGTCCCTGCAGGATGCTCAGGATGAAGGGTCTGCCTTTGCCGGGGTCAGCGTACCTGGAGGGCGGTCTGTGCGCAGGGGCTCCCGCCGGAAGGCCATGGACTGCACCGGTGGGCACTTGAAGATGTGCCTGTTGGCTGCCTCGGTGCGGTAGTCACCTGGGGAGGAGGAGAAGAGGAAGAAAGCCGTGAAGTGCTGGTCTCCTGCAGCCGCAGAGACAACGTCCCGAGGAAAGGGTCTTCTGAAGGGCTGCAGGATTGCTGGGGGGAGCAGGCAGCACGCGGGGACGCTTTTCCGTGCCCCGCCACTATGTCCTGCCTTGCTGTCCCTCCTGTCAGCCCCTGGCTCTCTGTTCTTTTTGGATGCGGGGTCCTTGTGCCCTCAGCCCGTGGTGCTGGGCAGCCGTCCTTCTCCGAGGGGAGGGCGTGTTTATCGCTGCTCACAGCGGTTTGTGCTCTCTCACAAAAGACCGACGGCTCCATCAGGGCGCGAGCTGACCCAGGGCAAACGCCGCGTGTGGGGGAAGCGCTGCAGAAGTGGTACTCACTGGGTCCGGGGGTGACGGTGGTCTTCGTCGTGGGGCGTCCACAAAGGTGGGCGCTCGGAGCCACGTGCTTCCCGTTCCTGGTGACGGCGGGCTGCACAAAGTAGCAGGGACCTGGCCCGCAGCTCTCGGCCGCAGGCGGCTTGGTCCCGCGAAACGTGTACGCGGGGGCACGGGCTTTGGTGGGGCTGTGGCCCACGAAACCTAGGAGGAAAAGCAGAAGAGTCAGTCCCTGAGCGCAAACGCCTGCGCCAGAGCCTTGCGAAGCCGCCCGAAGGAGAGAGCAGAGCTTTGGCCAGCGAGCTGCCTGTGGCCAGCAGTTTCCAAAGGCCTGCCCACACCACGCGCGCAGGCACTCCGCAGAGAGAGCCCCCAGAGCGCCGAGTCTGCGGGAGGCTCCGACGGCACGGGGAAAGGCTCGGGAGCTGCTCTGCCCCGCCACGGCCCCGACGCGCGTCCCCCTGCACCCCGGCGATGGCCGCCGTACCTGTTGTCCCCGGGATGGAGTACTGGGGCCCGGGGCTGGGGAACTGGGCCGAGATGAGGCCGCGCGGGCGATGCGGTCTCCACGTCCCCACCCAGGCTCCGTCCATGCTGGCAGGCGCGTGCCTCCAAACCTACAGGCAAGAGCAGAGGAGTCAGTGCCGGGCTGCCCCGGCAGAGGCCGCGGGTGAGCTCCGCTTGCCGCCGCCCGCCGCTCGGAGCCCGGAGGGGCCGGCAGGAGCGGGCTGTCTCCTCCGCTCAGCCGCGAGCTGTCCGCCGCGTGGCTTGCGGCTCCCGAGCCAGAAGGGCCGGCAGCGATTTCTGCTGCTCACGGCGGTCCTGCCGCTCTCGTGCCGCACGCCCCTCGCGCGCGGCGGAGCTCAGCCCGCACCCCGCGGCCGGGCTCTGCGGCCCAAGGCGTGCCGGAGCTCTCCCTCACCTCTGTGAGCCTTGGAGGACGAGCGCGACGAGGCTGAGCTAGTCTGCTGCTGGGGCTGCTCTCGGGCACGGGGCACGGCGAGCGGCTGCGGGCAGCGCAGCTCACGAATGGGGCGCCTGAAGCCGGCGGCCAGCTGCCCTCGGGGAGGGCCCGGCGTCGGCATTGTGACGGCACGCGGGCTCCGGGGACGTCATCGGTGCTGGGACGTCTCCCGGCCGGCCCGGAGCCGCGCCCTCCACGCCTTTTCGGCCGCGCACCCCAGCCCGGAAAAAGCTGGAGCGCACGCTGCCGACCCCTGCAGATGGACCGAGCTCTCAGTGCCAGCCCCGTGCCGCCCGGGGCTCCTGGGCCTTGATCAGCGTCACCTGCAAGGGAGAGAATCCCAGCGGGGAAATGCACAGAAAGTCCCTTCCGCCTGGGAAGGCGCAGCCACCAGCTTGATGATTTCGTTGCCCTCTCCTTTAGCTTGTTCCAAAAATACATCTAAATGAAGTGCACGTGTTGTTGCCGTTCACTCTGTTCTAGAGCGCATCCGTGGCACCAGGCAATTCCTCTTCGCCCAGTCCGGCCCAGACAGGCCAGGACCAGATCATAGAATCACAGAACAGGCTGCGTTGAAAAGGACCACA